ATAATGAAAATATCTTTTGCTAATTAAGAATCTTCACGAGTAGAATTATTTTTAAACGAAAACTTTTATAAAAAGATCGATACACTTGGCTGGACTTAGGTAACTGGTACTTTAAGTCACCTACAGGCCGCAGTATAGCAACGAACGCAGATTTAGCACTAAGTACGCTTTAGGCGAAATAGCGTAGATACTTACTTACTTACTTACTTACTTATCTTCACGCACATTCCCTAACGGGGTAGCCAGAGAGAACAGATCGCCAAGTGTCACGATCTTTACATACCTCTTTCGCTTCTTTCAGGTTCATTAACTTCTTCATACATGCACGTCTAGGTATCCGAGTACTCTTGACCCTCCCCTCTTCGAGCAATTTGCTCACATGGTCTTCGAAAGTTAGTCTCGGTCTACCTCGACACCTTTTAATATTTACTTTCGCTCTATATATTTTCTTCACCATTCGGTCTTTACTCATTCGTTCAACGTGCCCAAACCATTGGAGTACGCCCCTATCAATTTCTGTGATAAGGTCATCTTTCAATCCTGCCATATTGCGAATCTCTTCGTTTCGCTTTCGGTCGGCTATGGTAACGCCGCACATTTTACGAAGAGATCGCATCTCCACTGCATTCAACTTGCTTTTATGCTTCTTCTGGCATACCCAGGTTTCGCTGCCATATAACAAAGTCGGTACCAACACTGCGTTATGTATTGCAAGGCGTGCACTCTTCACCACGCCTTGCCTTTTTACTAATGCATTCAGGGCACCATTGACTTTGTTTCCGGCAGCGACACGCCTATTCACATCTAAATCACATCTTCCATCCCGGCTGAAAGCACTCCCCAAGTATACAATTTCATTTACCTGTTCTAGACATATAAATCAGGATTTACCCATATTTCACATTTCGTTCTCTCTTCGTCCTTTTCAAATACCAGAACCTTAGTTTTATTAGCATTCAAACGGAGACCTTTAATTTCACATTCCTCTTTCATACACGTGACTAATGCCTGCAGTTCTGCTTCTGATGGTGCAATAAGCACTGCATCATCAGCATACAGCAGACAATTAACTTTAATGTCACCCAATTTCACACCCAAACAGCTATTTTTCAGCTTCTGTAAACAGCTGTCGAGATACAGTATGAACAGCCAGGAAGACATGACACAACCCTGTTTTACGCCCGCTTGGACGCTAAACATGGGTGACAGGTCATGCCCTACCCTCACACAGGCTTTACAGTCATAGTAAAGTGACTGCACAGCCCTTAACAATCGACCATCCACACCATATCCCGGCAACAGTTCCCACATTTTCTTCCTTATAACCTTATCAAATGCTTTCTCCAGATCCACAAAAGCACAGAAAATCCTCTGGTTAACACTCAGAAGCTTCTCCGTGATCATGCGGAGAGAAAACATTTGATCCGTGCATCCTCTTCCAGGTCTAAATCCGCATTGTGCCTCCCATAAGAATCTTTCCGATTTCTCTTGCATCCTACGTGTCAAAACCTTCGAGTAAACTTTACTTGCTAAACTGGTCAAGCTGATCGCCCGATAGCACCCGCAGTCAAAATGTGAACCTTTACCTTTATATAAAGGCACAATGACCGCGGATCGCCAATCATCCGGGACATCTCCCGTCCGCCAGCACAAATTGCACAGCAGATGAAAGCTGTCCCAGACGCGAGGCCCACCGTACTTGACCATTTCAGCAGTAACTCCGTCTAGTCCCGCAGCCTTACCACATTTCAAACTTCGAATCGCACGTTCAATCTCTTTCATGCTGATGACCTCAGTGTCATCGAGGTCCGTGTCTGGCGTGCCAGTCATGGCGTCACCCCAGGATCCTTCACTAAGATCATGACACGCATACATTTCTCTATAAAATTCACTCCATCGCTGCATGACGTCCGATTTTTCTGAGAGGACGTCATTAGTTCTCGAAAGCACCTTGCTCATTCTTAAGGCTGTCACACCACTCCGGGACCTTCCAACCTCTTTCCAGAAGAGTTTGGAGTTTTCCTTAAAGTTTTGCGACAACCTCTCGTCCACTTCTATTCTACACCTTTCACGTACTTCCTCAATCAATGTTTTCGCATGAACTTTCTGCAGCTTATATCTTTCTTTCATCTTCTCTCTCATATGCTTATCGTTACTAGAGGCCAAGTAGTCTAACCATGCTTTTTTCTTCTTTTTTACAGCTTCTCTCACTTCATCATTCCACCATGCATCTCTTCTTTTACTACTACCTCTTTTTGTAGTTCCACATACTTCTTCCGCTGCACTTACCATTCCACCCCTAAGGTTCTGCCATGTTCTCTTCACACATTATTTCCTGCCATCGATGGTGTCAAGCTTTTCGGCTACCCTCGTGTGATATTTGTCCCTAGTATCCGCTTCCTGAAGCTTCCAGCTTCGGATGCGACAGACCAACTGTGGTTCTGTTACTGCCGTCCGGTAGCGCCAACCCGCGAACAAACCCCTAAATCTAGTAATTACTAGATAATGATCCGTTCCCAGGTCAGCACCCCTGAACACTCGTGTATCCATCACCTGTTTTCGCAGTCGGTCATCCACCAGGAACAAATCAATCATACTTCTCTCATTCTTTCTTTCTCTAGTGTACATATGGATTTTCCTGTGATTAAACATAGTGTTTGTCACAAGAAGACCCTTTTCCTTGCATACAGTCAGTATAAGCTTGTAGTATCATTAACCCTTTTATCGCCAAACTTTCCAAGCACCGACTCGTATCCTGGTCGAGCGATACCTATCCATCCATTCAAATTACCACATACAACAGTTATTTCGTTTCCCTTAACCAAATCTAGAACTTCTCTTACATTCTCCCAAAACTCCTCCAGTTCAGCCCTGGACGACGAAGCTACCGGCGCATAAACAGCCAAAAGGAATAACTTCGTCAGTCCTAGTTTAAAGCGAACCCAGAGAAGTCTTGAGTTCACAACCTTGTATTCAGTCATAAGATCGACCAACCGGGACGACAACAGCACCCCCACTCCCTGGCAGGCGTTCTCGCTTTCCGGGACTCCGGACCATATAGCTAACGTCCCGCCAGGGAGCTCTTCAGTACCACTGCCTTTCCGTTTGGTCTCCGACATACACACGACATCTAATTCTCTTTCTTTCATTATTCGACACGATCAACTCATTCGTCTTATCTCTCATGCCCCCTCTAACATTCCACGTGCCAACTCTGCACTCCGTCCTCCACCTTCCGCCGTGTCGGGCTGTGCGTGACGGGTGGCGGTCCCCATCGCCGCTTTGCGCGCTGCATTCCACACCAACGGGGACGAGCTGGTGTGCGTCGCCTTGGGGGGACGCCCTAACCCTCGTTTGCATGGGTGCGCAGCTGTGTAGAATTGCAGCCCTGAAAAGGGCTGGCAGGGGTCGCGACGAGCACGCTTCTACAATGACCCCTAAATAGCGTAGATCTAGCACTAATACGCGAGTGTGGTACAAAAACAAATAGCTCATCAAAGATTTTTTAGACTGTACTCCGTAACTGCACCGTGTGGCTTCTCGCTTACATCAAGATTTCCTTCTGTACTTGCTGTACAACTGCCACCAGTCCTTTAAAGCCTCGCTGTACCAGAGGGGGGAAGTGCTTAACTCCTCATCAATGACCATAGAATGAGGCGACGTAGAGTTAGTGGGATACCACTTCAATGGCAACAGCTCCGTTACCTCTGGAATTGGATCTCTCTAACAAAGAAAAGTCATTGATAATTCACATTCACACTACCATCATTGCTATAATTGTCATCATCGAGTAAAGTGTCCACTACCGGACGAAATCTTAATCCCTCCTTTAATGCAAAACCTATTTACTAAATTTACGTACCGGAAACTAAACAACTTGTGTATCATAGATAGACTTGAGATAATTTATGCGGAGTGCCATAAGCTACTTTGTCATTTATTGCCCTTCTGCTTAACCACGGAAATTCATACAAGTAATGGGTTGTTATAATATCACCAAAACAAAAAAGTAAAGAACCTATCAAACAGTGTACTATCGATGTCAAAAGAATGCAATATATAAACACCCATGCAATGCAAGAAAGTAAATGCAATGCAATAAAACTAAACTTTATACGCCCAGAGACAAAAAATCGACATATACTAGCGTTGATTCTGTCAAGTGCTGCCTTCAAACTACATTTTTGTAAGAGGTTTCATACGTAGAAAGAGCAACTTGTAGCTCATTGCTGTATGATGACTTCAGGACAAATGTGTCAGATTGACTGGAAAAATGCAGACGCATGATTTCACAGCATACCAACGTAAAATAACAGCATGATGCCGTTGTTTTTTCCATGGTGAGCGAAAAGAAACCAGCGATTCCAATCATTAGTTATGAAACTAAGTAGAGTTTACAAAACTTAATATTTAATAGGAAATTTAATTAAATTACTTTCAAAACACGTATAAAACAAATTAAAAAGAGTCGAAAAATTTCTCTAACTCTAGAATGTAGGGTGTCATTGTGTAGAGCTAATTTAATAGAGTACAAATATTCTTTATTTACAAACATTCTATATCAATTATGCTTAATTTTTTTGCTTCAAAAATAAATAAATAGAGGCCCGACAAATTCGTCAGTTGTAGATTTTTTTTATTACGGGGACTATCACAAATGTTGAATTAGTAATAAAATTCAAATTTCTGTAGTTATTGTTTAAATACAATAAATACTAAAAACATCGATTCAAATGACGGGAATATGTTTACATACGTACACAACAAAAAGTTAATTGGTTATAAACGTACGGAACCCCAAACGAGTTAGATCGAAATCGCACTTGGCTGGTATAATTTACTATACATTTTAGTTGCGGCGTGAGAGAATCCGTATATTTGTAAATACTTATATTTTACTTTAATGTTGCTCCATAACTTTAAAAAAAGGATAGGTGGCCTGTGCCCAGCAGTACCGCGTTTTTATTAATGCTGTTACTTTAAAAGTTACTTTTACTTGCTTACCCGAATTTGGCGAAATTTGTCCATAAGGTCGTCAACTTATCGATCATTTTACTCTCGAACAAGGAAGGTAATAATCCTTGGCTGAACAAATAAAACAATTCATCAGCATGCGCTGCTCCAGAAGCACTCCTAAACGGATCACCAGAAAATATCTTCGCCAAATTTCTCCGTCCGTTGTAATTAAATATATAATTGTATATTGGTTTGTCATTATTTTTAAGAATATATTCTGTTTCTTCTAAAATTGAGCTGCTTATATAAGCGTCACCCTGAAACTTAGCTAAGCCCAGTATAGTCTCTTGCGAAATTTTCTCATCTCCAAAGTACAGCTTCTGCAGCTTCGCTGATACCTTTCTTCTTTCTTTATGAGAGGGAAATGTCACATCTTTTGGCAACGATTTCTCTGTTTTAATCCTAGGTATCGTTGTATCATTTTCCAAAGACGCAAAATAATATCCTTCTTCGCTATTCAATCCGATCATCATAGGAACTTTATTGAAATCGCCTCTTGTTATTATATTGTATGGTAAGTCTGTCAAGAACGGTTCCACGTCATTTATGTTTTCTTCTGCACATGGCACATAAAGGCATTCAGAAATAATAACATTTCCTTCCTTTCTTGGCACTCTTGTAACTATCAGCTCTGTGTCTGATTTATTCATAAATATAAAGTTCACGAGCGTTTTCTGTATTGTAACCCATCGCTTTCGCTAGTAAACTCACCCTATAAACTGGTCTGTACTGCATCGCCCAAGGGGAAAGAGACGATCCGCTTTGAAGTATTGCCTTCTGAAAGTATCCTCTGGACTTGATTCATTCCTTTGGTGAAAGAACATGAAAAGACACGGACGCAGACCCGGCACTCTCTCCAAATATTGTTACATTATCCATATCTCCACCGAATGCTTTAATATTTCTTCTTATCCACTTCAATGCAGCAACTTGATCTTTTAAACCAATATTACCTGGGGCTTCCTTAATTCTTAGGCATACAAAACCTTGAATGTTTAATCTATAATTAATAGTGACTAATATTACGCCTTTAGACACTAAATATGTAGATCCATATAAATTTCTTGATCCAAATCCATCGTAGAAAGCACCGCCATGTATAAACATCATGACTGGTAATTGTGAAGAGGGTATCGCATCTACTGGCGTATAAATGTTTAAAGTTAAACAATTTTCTTGACCAAAAACAAATTTCGTGCCATATCTTTGTGGACATCGTACGTTTTCGTTTATAGCGTTGAATACTCCATCCCATGTTGGTTCAAGATCAGCTGCCTATAAAAAAAGAAATCTGGTGTAATACATATGAGTAAATAAAACCTTAGTACGATGTTATTCACATGTTATTATCGTCTTAATAAATGTATGCTTATCTCAATCGTTTGTAAAAGATCAATAATCTCAATTTAATTGAATAAAATGGCGAAAGCCGACATCTTCCTCTAATCATCGTTATCATTATAGTCCGACATAATTATTACAAAATACGATATTAATCTAGAGGTAGCTGCCCTCATTACTAGTCCTTTCATTGAATATAAGACCGTATATCTGAAACTCTTTGAAGCTGCTACCACAAGAGCATTGATGAGAATATTGCTGCTTCTAATCGGATTTTTAAGGCTTTGCGCAAGCTTACCCCGTCAAGTAATATGCCGCGATTACGTGACTGTAAAACGTGTAACTAGTAGTTAAACTCTTTAGTGAAAGCACCTAAACAGCGGCCCCGACCTTTGTGATTATCAAACTTATGGAACAAATATTTCTGCCCACTCTGCACCATTGGAATATCTCATTGCTTCTTTTGGCTAACATCCATTGGAAAATTCTCGCTGGGTCAAGTCTGCTTTGCCTTTGCAGCCTAGGTCTACTTTATTATTTAGATTTGTGTAACATAAATTTTGGCACCATGTATGGAAGCAAGAAAGACGAGCAATGCAATGTTAGAAAGATTTTTTACACCGGTACCTTTGAATTTTATAGGTACTACGTGTGTGATTAAAGAATGGTATTGAAAATGGCTGCGGCACGAAGCAAAACTCAGCAGAACGTGAGTTTGACGTCAAGCTCCAACTGCATAGTTGGAGCTCAGCAATACACATTAACCTTATTTTTATTGTAATTTATATAATTCGTTACAGATCTTGCATTGATCTCTTTCCCTTCTTTTCTAGTTGTAATAACTATATTGTAATTTCTTTTATAATAAAGTATTTAAAATTAGTTTCGCTTTTTTTGGGTCCTTGCGCTGCAGTTAACGTTAGACGAGTTCAACGAGGTAAGCGAGTCTTGTTACATTGGCAGGTCGACAGCGCAGTCTTCTTTAGTTATCGTTTTGAGATACAAACTGTCCTCTTTGCATTTGAGGTGTGCAAAAAATTTCGATTAGCAACTACCAATTAATGTTTAATGTTTATTTGGGCTATTCCCAGTAATCTTACTCTTAAGACTACTCCCTTCTTCTTGCCAATAGTCTTACTAAATAAATAGTTTTAAAAGTAAGATTACTGGAAATTTTCACACCAATTAGGCCTTTTTTTAAGGCCTTTCAATTAGATCACTGGGGAAGAAAATTCTCAGTAGTCCAAGTACATTAGACCCTTTTTACTGGAAACGAGGCATTCCATCTTAGTCCTCACGGGTGACAACGCATCTGCATTTTGATTCGGAATCGAGGATAGATGTAGATGTCTATGGGCCACAGCAACCACTTACCATCAGGTGGACTATGTGCTCGATTGTCACCCTATCCTATAAAAAAACATAGAAGTTGTGAGTAGGTAGTAGTTTATTTTAGGAATAACACTAGACGAGCATAAACGTGAAAGAAAATTTTCACTAGTCCTACGATATGACGTCAAACGTAAACGGATGCAGTTAGAGCTCAGCAATATACATTAACCTTATTTTTATTGTAGTGTATAATTAATTAATTATATTGAATAAAACTATTATTTACGGATTTTATCGCGTTTAATTACTTTAATTTATTTTTTATTATTATCCCGACGTTAAGTTTTGAGATGTTTGACGTCCCAATGTCATAGTTAGTCCGGCTACCTTCAGTTTTTTTAATATTAATTTTTTTATATTTAATTTAAAATTAATATCAATAAAAAAAATTAAAGTATAACCGATAAAATTAAAAAATTCAATGTGTAGTGTTCGCGTAAATTTAAGAAATCATTAATTAATTATAGCTCAAGCATTGATGTTTATCACTTCTTTTCTAGTTGTAGCACTTATATTTTAGTTCTTATTATAATAAAGTATTTAATTTAAAATTAGTTTCGCTCGCGAACGCGAGTAACCCGGGTTCGATCCCCGCCGGCACCAATGAAATTGTTAATTGCAATTTTAAGTGCTGATTTACCACGTGCTCGGCGGAAAACATCGTGAGGAAACCTGCATGTCTGAGGAATAAGAAAAAAAATATTTCGAAGACATGTGAAGTTCGTCAACACGCATTTAGGCAGCGCGGCGGACACTTCCTTGCCCTAAACCCTCTCAGAAATGAGGGGAGGCCTGAGCCCAGCAGTGGGACGTATATAGGCTGTAACTTTAGTTTCGCTTTGTTAGGGTTCTTTGGCTGCAGTTAACGTCAAACGAGTTTAACGAGGCAAGTCTTGTGACATTGACAGGTCGACAGCGCAATCCTCCTTAGTTATTGTTTGAGATAAAAACTGTCCGCTTCGCATTCGAGGTGTGCAAAATATGTCGTTTAGGTTTTTGAATTTAATGTTTAAGAAACTTAAAGGATGTTTATTTGGGCTATTCCCAGTAATCTTGCTCGTAAGACTGCTCACTTTTTCTTCCCAATAGTCTCATTAAGTAAATAGTCTTACAAATAAGATTACTGGAAACTGTGCGCCTTCCTAGTAGACCACTGGAGAAAAAAATTCTCAGTAATTTCAGTACAAGGAAGTTGTGAGTAGGTAGTAGTTTATTTTAGGAATAGTACCAGGCAAACATAAAAGTGAAAGAAAATTTCCGGTAGACCTACTATGTGAAGTACGTGGAAGTTGTGAGAAGGTAGTAGTTTATTTTAGGAATATTACTATGCAAGCATAAACGTGAAAGAAAATTCTCTGTAGTCTGACTAGTTTAAGTAAGGAATAATTTACCACACTAGTCGAATGGAAGATTCGAACCTACGACACTGAGTTTGCAGTCCGTATCCAACCATTAGACTACGGTCGCTTAAAGTGGAATGAAATGACAAATGACGGGACGGTTCGGTAGCGTAGAGGTTATGTAGAGGATGCGGTGCTGGGAGTCGCAGGTTCAAATCGTGTTAGTAGCTGAAAAATTGTTTTGAGTTCGGATGGCTTGTAAAGTCCATGTGGAATATATTGTTACGCGCCTAAGTCGACGTCACTAGCGCCATCTAGTGTCAGAGACGAGAGCGAGGGGAGCTTTCCAGAAAATGACATCACTAATCTTTCAACCGGCAGCGCCATCTAGTCTCGAACCGAAGAACTAAGCTTCTGGAAGCTGACTCTCGAACTTTCGGCGCTTTGTCGATTGGTGCGCGTATTTACTTGAATGTTCTGGATGATTCGGTACTAATGTGTATTTATAGGCGCTGCAAGGTGCGATCGAGGAAGTATTGAATTTGGCGAGACAAGCGAAGCTTCGGAGCGGAATAAAGTGAATCAGTGTGATTAATTATTAGTGTTTTAAGTTTAATTAGTGTAAAGTGAATTAAAGTGTTAATTTCGGTAATTCAATCGGCAATTTTTATTGTCACGAACCCTAAGCTCTTAACAATATGTACGAGTATGTAAAACGGATATATACACGAGAATCCTAGTGCTATAGATATGAAATAGAAGAAAATAATATTTGGTAAATGCAACAGAATAATAATACTCGAAATGTGCGCTTCTAATCGGCACAGAATCCAGGCAAACACTTAACTGCTATTAACCAGAACTTAATTTGGCGCGAAATCTCTAACTATTATTTCCTTCACATTCATATCTATAACACCCAGTACAATTTTATTTTTATATACACTATACTACACAGCTAACAACACCATTAGTTGTCATGGGGACAAACCTGAAATCTGTTCCTAGGCCGTACTGTAGCATACGGGATAGCCAGGTATTGGGCATGCGTGCCGTCTGGAGAGATGATACCACGTAGCAGTCCGCCACTCACTTGCACTACGACGGTAGGCTGCTGTAAAAGTCTGGCTGCCCATAGAGACCATAATATTGTCCAGTGTATTTTAATTATGAATGATTTCTATTTATAAAAAAAAAATCATAACTCACACAGGGGATAAGTCGCTCGCGTGGGGGATAAGTCGCTCGCGTCCGTAGGCTTTGACCACCTAATCCTAGGCCCACCCTACACGTGTCCCCCGGGTGGTGCTAAATGAGCGACAAGCCGATAGCACAGACTCGGCTCCTCGCCGTGGTAGCGGCGTTAAATATACCATCCCATTCGCACCATGAGGAATCAAATTAAAGAAATGGCCCCGAGTTCCCGGCGCCCCTTTAATGGGGCAGGGGTGCGAAGAATCTCCGGGAGGAAAACCGGCGACGAGGCTCGCCACCCGTCACGTTCTGTCTCCCGGAGGGGCGAAAAGTGGATTGCAGAGGCCCGTCTGGCTACGTTTAATGTATGTGGAGCAATGAAT